AAAAACTGCATAATATAGTAAAATAAAATAGAACTAAAAATTCCAAGGACATATAAATACCGTTAATAATTTCATACCTTCGATATCTACTGTTTCAAAACCGTTGTTACATTTTTTGTTGACGACTGTATTTCCGATACCCACGTGGCAGCAGCAAAAATACGGTAGAAATTTCCGTTCGTGAAATTTGATACTTTTTATTTGCACATTTATTCTCATAAAAACCAACAAGTAGGTATTCGATATTCAATCAAACGAAACTGTGTTTGGTAGCATTTACTTTTTATGGTTGACTAAACACAAATTCATAGATATTATTTAGTATTAGAGTAAGGTATCCATAATCGAACCTACTTAATAAATTATTAGTTTAATAAAATAAAAATCGACTTTAAACATGTATCTTTGAGTACAATTAGATGTTAACTTACATTGAGTATAATATAGTATATTATGCCCTATGTAGGAATAGCTAATAGTGTGAATTACCGTAATTTAATCATTAATTTTTTTCAATTAATATATTTTACTATTTTCTACTTTATATTAAAATATAGATTTAGTTAATTTTTGTATTTCGCTGTACTGTATTATACTATGTATCAATGTATCATACATTTTTAAACAGTAAACAATATTCAAAATTTAGTTATTTTACGAATTACATAAACATTGTATAGTATTGTACTTCAAATAGAAATACATTATAATTAACAGTGACAAAAATAAAAGAATACTCGTATTAAATAAATATTTAGATAGGTATAGAATTCAAATCAATAAACAATCAGAAAATGAACAAAATGGTTGATGATGATAATTAACCAAATTAAAGAGATACACATTAATTAATTAAAACCACATCGGTTAATTATGTGATAAATAACAATTTTAACAAACATAACTCATAACACTATGTTTTAATATATAAATAATAATAATGATAATATTATTCCATTTAAAAAAATAATAATACTATAGTGTATTAGATACATAAATTCACATTACTAGGTATAATTCTTATAAATCAATAATGAAAATAAATTTAACCAAACGTCCATTGTTTAGTTTTAATTTTGAAATATATTAACCTAAATGTTTACATATCTTGACATTATGAAGATTATGATTATAATTTTAAATAGCTATATGAAATAGGTAACTTGTCATTTTTTTCTAAATGTAAGTGCTTGTATTAATTAAATTGTCCTTTTATTATAGAACTAATATGGAAATTATTATTATGATAAAGTGCTGTATAATAAATTCATTCGGCATTAATAGTGGCAAGTAAACAATCCTTTCACAAAAGTGGTTTTTGGCGAACAGTCAATTTGGAAAAAATGCATTTTATTGTTAAATTTTTTAACGATTATAGCTTTCATAAATGTATGCAAAGGTACAAAATATAAAATTTAAATATTATTAAATTTTACATATCATCTTAAAATATATTATATATTTATATTTTAGTTTATTTTATCAATGTTTAAAACAAGTGGCTACTAATAATTTATTTAGTTTTTTATACATCATAATACCTTTTTTTTTCGTTCAAAAACCGGAAACGGGTGGGCACTGTTAAACACACAATTCTGCCACCCGGTTCCGTAATGTTTATTCACCAACAATATTAGTTATACATAGGTGGAGGCCTCTAACCACCCTGAAAAGCTGGCATTTGGCCCACAAAATAACCACATTTACCCTACATCCGTCCACCTCTTGCCTGCCTGATGCGCTCTGCTGCCTCCTTTTACCCGAGTATCGTCTATTCGTCTTCACCATCCTGCCAAACGCTATCTTCTGCTTATCCGCTGTCTCCTCGACATATTATCTAGGAGAAGCTCCTGCTTTGACTCCAGAGTGTATATCGTTATATAATCTTATACAATAGTCTCTATTCAGATATAAAACCCAATGTGAAATTAAGTTTTTTTTCTCAAATAATTAAATTAATTACAATTACATAAAGAAAATTATATTTTATGTTAAAGAAAAACTCATAACTAATAATGAATTTGGTCATGTTTTTTAAATTCTAAAAATTGAAGCAACTATTGTAACGTAGAAGTTTAATGGTTACATAACCTATGGAAGCTATGGTTGCTATTAATAATGCTATAAATATTAAATATAAAGTACACTGTACAGAACACTGCGTATTTATATTATACGATTATTTAACAACGTTATATGTATTGGCTATCAAGGTAAGAATACAGTTGAATAACGTAAATTGACACAATTTGTTAATTACATAAAATAAAATGTATTTTAAACTATGCTTTTAAAATAGAAACGTACTATAATATTTGGAGATAGAATAAGACATTTCCTACTAGAATTAGTTTCTTATACTGAGAATGGATTTATATAAACAACGATGTAGCGAATGTGACGAAGTTTGCGACTTAAATAAGCCCTACAAGTGGAATGTGGTATGCTAGAAAAAGTCTTGACTAAATCTCATTCTATGGGCTTGTTTATCTGTATTCATATGTTAATTATAGTAGCATTTTAATAGATTTGGGCTTTACTTAATAATAAATGAAGGTTGTTCGTATAAAAAAAATGAAGATGCCGAATATAAAAATGTATCTAATATGTATTTTTATTTTAAACACTTAAATTATACCTATATCACAATAACCTCCATATTAACAACTTAAATTTATTTCATTAACAGTTTTTACATTAATTAAATATAACAAAAATAACAATCTAAAAATGCTGAAAAGTATATAAATATTTATCTGTAATAATATACTATTTTATCATAATCATTCAGAAATGTAAATGTAAATACTGCTTTTTACAACAATTAATGTGTATTGCCACTATTGCATCCTTTTATGAATTGTTTTTTAGTAAAAAGCTTTTAAACAGTTAAATTATCTTTTTAATAAATTATTTTTATTTACTTCATTGAGCTCTACATATTATTATGTTTTGTACAGAGCAGAGTATCATTATGAGAGTTTTTAGTTTACTTCTTTAATCTACAAGTATTTAAAAATATTTAGTGCCTCATTATTTTAATAACGCAAACGAAAGTCTCAGATTATATTATTATTAATGTAGTCGGTTATTTGAATACTTTTTACATTGGAATGCGGCTGTTTAAAAGCTAAAATAATTTATGGTTGAAATAAAGCAAAAAAAATGAAACAAAGGTTGACAGTTAAAATACTTAGTTCAATAAAGGTCAAAAAAAAAGGTTTTTAAAGCGTGACATATACTCATAAAATCGATTTTAAATGAATCCATTCAACGAATTTAATCTTTTTCAACACAGAAGTAGGTACCGAAAAAAAAACCATCCTGATAAAATAAATTATTGTTGCTTTCAGTAAATTTGAAATTGCCTTCATCACGATTTCTAAAAATTATAAAAAGTACTGTATTGCATAAAATATACAATGCAATAGCCAAAAAGTTATTAAATATAAGGTTTTCTTGTTTACAATTTCTTAGCGACTTTGATGTTATATAATATAATAATTTATTGGTAATTGTAAGTCATAAAATAATTGAATTCATAAAATATAAAATATATTTATATATTATAATAATATGTATTACACATACCCGTATACCTGTAGGATCATTATTTTATCGAATAACACCCATTGTTTCAAAATTTATTAACGTTTTCTGCTTTGAAATATTGAATAAAAATATTATGTTATCATTCAAAAAATTAAAAATTATTACGAGAAAAAATATTAAAAATATGTAAATGTATTATTTTTTTAATGTACCTAGTTTTATTCCTACTAAAATTATATAAAACAATATTTTCAAAAAAGTTAATAGATTTTGAAATATTGAGTGTTATTTGATAAAAGAATAGGCAAATATAAGTTCCCCTAAAAAATAAAATAATAAATTCCTCTAAAAACGTTTTACAAAAAATATTAAAAACATTTAGTACAACCCAGAGAACACTAAGTGGAAGTGATTTTAATTATCCTCCAAAATATACGAGGTATTTTTAATTGCATTTACACTTTTTATTCATTTTTTACACTTAGAAAAATTCATTGTCATACTAGTTTTATTAAAATTATTATTATTTATTTCGTTATGTTGATAATGTTTTGATTGAGTAATGATATGAAACTTTTCTTAATACAATAACGTCACTTCTTTTCGGCAGTTAAAATCAATGTACGTTCAAAATAATGTTAATACATTTTATACACAATTAATGAATGACCACGTTCATTGATAATAAATTGCATTTCTGACATACAAACTGATTAATAAATTAATAAATACGTTATGTTAAAAAATCTCTCAAAACACAAATTATGTTGAAAGAATAGGATTAGATTAGATAAACGTCATATAATATTATATGACTTTAAATTACTATTTGATATATGAAAAAAAAAAGAATTGTTAAATTATTAATTGAGATGTGTACGATTTAAATATTTAATAACCATGTTAAGTAAAATAGGTATATTATACACTGTATAATGTACATTAAGATAAAAATGTAATAAATTTGTTTATTATAATTTAGAAAATTAGAAAAAATACAGTTCTTCATATGATCCATGTAATAATTAATAAAAGTAGGTTAACTTTTTAAAACTAAGTTTTTTCAATATTTGCTTTTAATTTATCGAGTTAAATTAATGATCTGTCAAAGTTGAGGTGTCCAAAAAGTAGTATATCGACTCGGAGAGACCGTTATGTTCAATAGGTACACTGTAAATATTACCGATGTTCGTCTTATGACAAGATATGGAAAAAAATAAATATGAATAAACCGACCATCGCATTATCGTAATATCGACAAACAAATTGTCCTACCCCTCCACACCCCACCCTCCCCCATCTCCCGACCGACCGATGCCCTCCAAACGAGAAAATCCGAAAAAAACGAGCGCCACCGGAGAGCGTGTGCGATAGTGCGCAGTATACATACATCACTACGACGACGCATATTATTATGATAATTTATCGCTGTACCGTGTTTTTTCCAGGGCGCGGACGCGATGGCTCACGAATTGATGGCACCCGTCGGCCGCGATGCTACCCGTATCCATACAGATGCGCATCCTGTGGACGTTCGCGATGGGCACCGTGTTCGTGGTGCTGTTACAGTACCAGACGTCCGGCGCCTGGTCCCCGCAACAGGGTCAACCGGCGGCCCGCCCGGACTTGATGGCCGAGAACCTGGTGTCGATGGCCATGTCCAAAGTCGTGGTGGACGAGGACGCGGGCGTCTCCAGGGACTTGCTGATGGGCATCTCCCGGCAGATCGCCAGGTACGTAGTGTACAGCGCCAGTTGCAGCGGCGTCGGCGGCGGCGGCTATAGCATCGGCTCCGGGGCTGCCGTCGCCGAGACGAACACCGTTTACGTCATCACGCCCACGTACCGGCGGCCCGAGCAGATAGCCGATCTCACTAGACTGGCTCAGACGCTCATGCTGGTCAGGGACATACACTGGCTGGTCGTCGAGGACTCCAACACCAAATCGCCGCACCTGGCTGTCCTGCTCCAGTCGTTTGGCGTCAGATACAACCATTTGATCGGTAAGCTACCGCGGGGACGCGTTTGTTTTTTCGCCACAACAGTAATAAATAATAATAATATTGCGTTCAGGGGCGTACGCAGAATTCGTTTATGGGGGGGATAAACATATATGTGGATAAAAAACCTTTGTCAATTATAATATTCCATAAAAAAAATCATTATACATGTTTTACTATGGGGGGTTAACTCCTAACCCCTCCCCGCCCTATCAGTACGCCACTGATTGCGCTGCTCGTTCGTTTCCGTCCACGTGTTTCTCGTTTGCTACTGCCAATGATAATTATTGCTCGGCCGACGATTTCATCTTTTAATCGTGCTTTTTTGTGAATAACCGTAGGTCCGAGCCTGGGACTGTGGAACCCGTGACGACTTAAAACAATATCTATCCGTTAACAATATTTTTAGTCGGTGATCTGACGGACTAAGTAATAATTTGACGCTCGACTAAATGTAACTGAATTTCAATGGTTTAAATAAACAACATCAACGTTTCCAAAATGATTAACTATTTACAGCAACGAAGAGATAGGTTCTCGTTCGAAAAACAAGAATTAGCTGTGTATTACATCGGGACAATCCTCGAATTCCATAACAATTTTAAGTGATTGAAAATATGGTTTATAAGTTTATAATTAATATATACTTAAAAATATCAAAAATAAGAATTTATCAATGCAAAATTTAAAGGGTACAATTGCATATTTGATTAATCGTTATACTATATAGTACATAATTAGTAAAACCACAGACAAAATCGAATTTATAAAAGATTAGGACTGCAATCCAGGGGTTTCCATAATTATATAGTTAGTTAAATATAACTAAAAAAAATAAATTACACATCAAATAGAGTTATAATTTGCTCTAAATTATTGATTCTTGTGTTTTGCTAGATTTCATTCTTTTAACAAAAATGTTAAAGGAAACACTAATATTCAAAACATATAAAACATTATTTCAGAACAATTTAGATATGAAACAAACGTTTTATTTTTTGTACATTAGTAACAAAGAAGCAATTTCACGACTTCTTTTTTTCAACAAAATAACTTAACTCGACTAACTTTTAAAGTTTTAAAAGCAATTTATCTAATAACTCAACTCTGTATATATATTCACCAAATCGAATATATATATATATATGTGTGTATAATTGGCTTCATTTTAATTTATATTAATAATATTCAAGTGAATGGAAAAAGCATTTTCTACTATATTTATGTAATAACTTATGGTTGTGAATGATAAACGCATAAGGTTTCAATGTAAAAAAAAAAAAAAAATAACAAATTATATCGTATAAAAAATACTACAAATAAAATGAAAATGTACATTTATATTAATCATTCGTTATATATTATATATTATATATACTATGAAGCAGTTGTGATTATTTTATTCTCTTGAATTGGGGGAGTTCCAATTATAACAAAGAGATTAAATTATCAATACACATTTTTAATTTTAACAATTCTATATTTATTTATCAATATGACTAATTAATATGACTGGAATAATTATCATCATATAACTTTATAAGCACTCGATATACGTCCCTGATGGCTAATACCTACCCTCATAATTTTGTATACACGTAAAATGGATAAAGCATTTTATAATTTATTTACATCTCAAAATTAATTTTGAAAAAGTGATTAATAAATTATCATAATTACGTGTTTTCGAGTGTCTTGTAAAATAGAAAAAAGAAATCTTACTCATATTTTTTTTATCAAAATCGTATTAAAAATTATATGTGTACTTTCTTTCTAATTTCGCATAATCCCATAACATTTTTTTTCTAATTTAAATTTTAAAATATTAATTGCATAATATATTCCCAATTTAAATATCCAAATTAATCATAATTAAATTGAAAAATATTAAACTAAATATTAATAAATTACAATATATTAAATAAATAGTTACTTGATAATAATTACAATAAAATTCTAAAATAATCCTTAATTAAACCGAATCTTATATAGTTTTACATGTACCATGTATAAATAATAAGATATAATAAGTACTTATTTACTACATTAATTATTTATATTTTTTAAATATATATATATATATATATTAATCTGTGGAGTCAATTACCTATTTGGAGTGGTAAAATATGGCCATTCAAAATATATAAACTGAGAATATTATACAACATTAAACTGTCGAAGAGATTACTGTATTCTTTAATAGATTATTTATTTGTAAAGTAAGTAGGTAGTTGATGTGACTTACTGCGAAAACGTGAGTCAATAGAAAAATTGCATATCATGAGTGTACAACGCTCCACTTTTAAATACATTGAATGTGTCAATTGGTGGTTCGCGAGTTCACGATTTCTCTCGAAATTTAGACGATAAACACAAATATATATCCCAATACGGAAATATAAACAAAATAAACATATATGTAATGATAATATAATTAGCAATTACCATGGCCTAAGGTATATCCAAATCCATGATAAATACGTATATACTGGTAGGCACACTCTGTATAACATGACGGTTTATCTCATAGATTACGTTTAATGCTTTTTAAACGAACAAAAGCATTTACACGCATTACAATGTTTTTTGTCCTTGATAGCAATAATGCTGATTTTTATCATACCGTGTTTATACGTTATTCTTCAATAGCGACTTAACATAACATTTGAAGCGAGTAAGGAGTAAGTACCAACCTCTTGAAGTGAGCACAAGAATTCGTGTTGTAAATACATTTAAAAAGCATAATAATATATTAACATGTAATATGTTATTAAATAATATAAGTAATAATAATATTAAAATTGTCCCAGCTAGTTATACTTCCGTGTTCATATTACTCGGGTACAGCGTACTGTGCATTAGATACTATGCGTTTACAGTAAGTGAGTAATAAAATGTTTATTTTAAAAATAATCGATAAACTTTTTAATGTTAAACTCAAATAAATGTAACCAATTATGAAAACATAAAATCAGAGTTCTGATTATACAAATGAATAAAACCCATAATAGTGATTATAACTTATACATTATACCATATAGATAATATTAAGAGATTGGAATTTTATGATACAAAAACTATAAATAATGATCTGAAAATATTTTTAAAAAAATGCTCTCGATAACATTTTTTTCCTTGTTTACAAAAACAAATTAATCTATTTCGTTTTAATACATTTAGTTTAAAAATTATTTAAATGGTTACATTAAATAATAAAATACAACATTACTACAGCATGTAACTAATTTTGTATGAAAACGTTTATTTATAATAACTATTTATTTTATAATGTTTAAAAAATGAAAATATTCTGTCAAATTTGTAATTTTAAAATTTAGTTAAAATCATTTAATATTAAAATTATTTAAATGTATTTAAATTGTAAAATTAGACATAAATTACAAACATAAAAAACGGTAAAGTTACTTTGCTGTATGCTAAGTTTTTAGTTTACTTCATTATTGAATAAGTGAATTGATAATTGCATATATTTATTACGAGTGATTCAATTTTAATGCAAAAATAAATCATTACGAGTATATAAGAAAAATAATTCTGAGCAAAGCTAGCCAAAGGTCAGTCAACTTATATCTCTATGGACATTTTTTATATTGTTATCAGTAAATAGTAATATTTTTTTCTAATAGTACGTAATATGTTGCTAAAATAATAAATCACTTTATATTATATTATTTCATATTATTTATAATGTACGTTTTTCCTGCAATGACTAATGCCAGGTAGTGAAACAGTACAACGTCTAGACATGTCCCGGGCTGGTGTAGTTGATGCCATAACACTACAAAATAAACTTAATTCCCGTGTGTATTGTCACCATTTTTAAAACGTACAACGACGCAAATTTGTGTTTAGTAGAACCAATTTTGAGTGTTAACTTTTATTTTAGATTAAATCAACTAAACTTAGATAAAAAAAAAACATTACCTGTACTTTTATAACATCAATTTTTTTTCAAAAAAATACAGATAACGTACTTACTTTTAAATTTAATCATAGATCAATTCACACTAATACTTGAGTTGACAACATAAAATTGATTCTATTAAGCTCAAATTTGATGTGTTTTAATGTTTTAAGACTGAGACAAACTACGTGTACTTTAAACATGTGCTCAAGATGGGTTAAAGAGAGAAAATAATTTTGCATTAACATATTTTTAAGTTAAAACTGACATAGATACCGCAGAACGTTGTAAATAATTTAATGCCTTAGGATTAATTAAAAATATTTTAAATGTTTCAATTTTCTACGAATAACATTTTTAAAAACGATTACGATAAAATCATTAAAATCGTTACTTTTTTCTAAAAATATTTAAGTATTCAATTTCGTAAAAATTTTAACTTGAAATGTACCTATCTTAAAAAATAAATGCTACATGTGTAGTTTTGAGAATTATAAGTAGCTACACGACTAACTTATGAGAAATTTTATATCAAATTTTGAGCACTAAAAAATTGAAATTGAAAACTTAAAAATTGTTACGATTTTGACTAATTTTGTCAACATTTGAACTTCAAACGCTTTTAATGTGCATATGTTTTATCGATATCTTTTAATGACCATATTATAAATAGTTAGTTTAACTTCTAAGAAAAACGTTTATGAATCCCCCCCCCCCCCGATTCGTCTATCAATAATAATAGATAATAATGAAAAAGTAACTTATTCTTATTTTCTTAAAGTATACTCCATGAAAACGGTATTTAAATTTGTAAACAACCTCTAAAACATTCGTTGACGGTGATATAAAACAAATGTGCAAACACGAGTAAACGATGATAATAATTATTAGAAATACCATCGAATCGATTTATACACGTGTAGTCCTACTTACTGTCACACACTGGAAATTGTTAAAGCGGGAAAATAATTAATATATTATTATATAGCTGTTATTATTCAACTATGCGCAATACGAACAGCATTCGTTTGATGTAAGTACATGTAACCCACGTCCGTCACATTTATCTGCACAAAAT